GGAAGCGTCAACTGTGTTGGAAATAAATTCGGGTGCAATAAGTGTAACCTGTTGTCCGCATCGCTGAACCCGTACCGACGTTATCCACTTGTCTTGGGGACCAAGAAAATAAACAGCAATGAATAACGTACAGTTATAGTGGGGTACAAGGCTCACTAAATTGTTTAGATTTCATTTGGAAGGAAGAATAAAAGGGCAAAAAGTTGTGCACTAGGGGGTATAGAAATTAGAAAATTTTGGACTTTTGCCTCCATATAAGCAAATCCATCATAGCGAAACTCTTCAGGAATTTAGTGATTCCGAATGGAACACAATGAATCTAGAATGAAAGAACCGTGTGTTGGGATAAAAAGAAAAAGGATAATTTGAGGGAGTGAGGTTTCTGACAATTGCAGCCACCTTCCATAAGATTTGAAAACTGATAGAAACTTTTCCTAAAAGTATATGTTTTGGTAACAATTGATGATGTAAGTAAAAAAAAAAAAATCCAATATCATCCCTATTTGATATGTAAAACAAATTAAATGCTAAAAAGTCAACTATTACTATTATTCGTTAGATGAAAATATTCAAGTTAATTTTTGCAGGAAAATTTAAGTCATGTTCTGAAATCTTTCTTTTTTGGTACTTTATACATTCTTTTTTGGTTAAGTAATTTTTTAAGATACTTATTTTAACAAATGCCTCCCTAATTGGTTAGTCGATTTTTTTGTAAATTGATTAATAAATCCAATCAGAAAAATTAGGAAGAAGTATAATATACTAGATTAGATGAGGTTAGAGTTTTAGAATACAAAAGTATTACCAAAAAAGAATTTTCATTCTTCTCTTTTACACTCATTTTCACTTAAAATTTACTCCATAAAGTTTGTGAAGGCTATCATAGTCTTTTCATAACATTAGGAAAAGTAAGTGTAATTTTTCAAACTTCAGGGAAGGTGGCCACAATTGTCAGAAATCTCAACAAAGGTTTCTAAAATTATCCTAAAGAAATAAATGTTTAGGGTTGAAAAAATAAAATTCAACATTTGCGATATGGCGCACAGTTCAACTGTTCAATTGAGCTCAAGCTATGTACCAGTACAAGCAGAACCATTCATTTTGTTGCAGGAAGCGTGGGGGATGTAAGCTGGTCCAATAGCACTACAACCGCATGAAGAAGAAAAGGAAGGAGAAGCCTTTTAGAACCGTTTAAGCGCTTGCTCTGGCTAGATCGATCGGTCTTCTTCGTTTCGTAATTTATTGCGTTTGTCCCCAACTGTGCAAACATACTTGTAAGAGGTGGAACCAATATGAGATTCGTTACTCACACTGCAAATCAATTAGTAATCACCCCAATACTAATAAAAGTGTCGATCACAACTCATTTGTGTTAATCGGCTCAAATTTATCAGAATCACCTATTTTGATACTCTACTCCCGGCCATGAAAAATTTAATCAACTTGGCTCTATGTCACAATTTTTTGTTTTTACAAGGGCTCTAATTCAGACGAATCCATCATCAGTATATATCAAATTTACGTACTGTAAAAAAAAAAAAAAGATGTGCTATTCCCTTTGTACCAAAAGGTTCCTGCCTACGATTTAATTAAACCATTGACTTTCAAAGGATTCTGAAACGTCAAGGACTATGAAGGTGACTTCCCCTCTGTTCTTCGTGCTTTTGTTGTACATGCTTCATATATAGATTTGACTCCATTGGCTGTGCTGTGCATGTCTTTGTTTGTTTTTGTTGTTTGCTCACGCGTGATATATATATATATATATATATATATATATATATATATCTAACTACAATATAAGTTCGAGTTCGGCTTCCAGTAGCAGCTTCCCGTGGTGCCACGTGGCAGCTCCAAAGCTCAAGTTTAGCTTCTTTCTTTTTGCCTGCCGTTGCTTGTTTCATTGGAGCCTGTTTAGTGAGGTGCTAAGGTTTAGCACTTTTGGTCAAATGCAAGGTACCTTAGGGTGGTTGAATGTATATCATTATTTTACTTCATCTGTGAACTCACTGCCAGTGGTTGTTCACTTACTGCAAGTAGTTGTTGGCTACTAACTTTAAAAGTAGGTTGCTTTTTGTCAAAAATTTAACCATTAGATTGTAGTGCTTTGTACTTTTATGATCTATTGACCGTTAGATTTGTATGATTATCTATGAAGTTGTTGACTTACTTTTTATGTGTGATCTTTTATCCTTAACACTTTCGGTGTTTTTGCCAGACAAAGCTTAACTTTCCAAGACCTGCTTCTGTTTCTTTCATCTTATTCGGTTGTCGTTGGTCTTCATTCTGGGGAAACAAAACGAAAGGAGCGTTCGGCTGGTTCTTTACTTATTTCTTGGTGAGTTTTTATCTGCATTAAATCTCTTGACATTTAATGTCCTTCTTTTTGCATGGCTGTTTACTACTTGTGCTTCATAGTTTTTACGATATTATCATGCAGCTTACTTTCTTCTTCCTCTATATTTATTATGCAACTTTCCTTCTGTTTCTTTAGTATTTGAGTCATTGTTTAAATCACTGCTTATTTGGCTGCAAATGATATTAGTGAACCATATGCGACAGTATACATTGTTTGAGCTGCTGTAAAGTTGGTAGCCATTGTGTGTCATATACTTTCGGTGTTCATCTTCACCTAACCTTTTATTGCTTGAACTTTCAATATAAGGCTGTTATACCTGAGCACAGCATTTGCTTTTCACTCTACGGCTTCGCAATTGATGGATCAGGCACGTGAAGTTATTGAGCCACATTCATGTGGCTATCCAGTACAAATACCTGATGTTAGCTATGTTAGCAATCATCACTGTGCTGTTACGGACATTATGAACAGTTGTTCTGCTTCTACATCAGAACACCTGACTTCCTTGCCTACTAAATATGTAGTTTCTTGTGTGGACAAAAAAACCTATAGGCGACAAGCTTATCTGAGATGGAAATAAAAAAAACTGCTTACGTAACCTGCGGTCCAGAAAACCAAAAAAAATGGCTGAATTTGAGCTGTTCTTTATCACAAAATCATGAACAATCTGCTTTGTTGGCTGATGGAATTGCTAGATAGTACACTGTTGGACATAGACAGTCTTCTCATCTAGCATCTACTACAAATTTCAGTAGAGACGCACATATTATGCAGTCACATGCTTCATGTAGCAATGCTTCTATCTTTCTAGATACACATTTAGGTAGATTCTTGTATTCTTAACAAATTTTGTTTCAGTTTCCATGCATTGTGATGCTAGCAATATCTGAACTTCTGCATTTGACTTTTAGTCATCAATAGCCAACCTGTTCAACAGTCAGCTAATGAAAGAAATCTTGCACAAAATAAAAGAAAACGTCCAGGTTAGCTTTGACCTTTATTCTTGATTTGCATTCGTATTGTTTATAGCTATTTAAATTATTGGTTACTTCAGATATCATTCTGTTCCTGTTAGAAAGAAGACCTAGAAAAGGAAGAGAGTTGTTGGATTTAATAGCGAATACTGCTGACATTCTGCCAAAGCAGAGAGTTCTCGACACTGTGGTGCTAAAAAGTTTTTCTCAGAAACAGCAAATTTTTGCTGTTCTGATGGTGATATTATGCTGGCAAAGAACAGACTTCCTGATATTTTGAGAGAATTACTGACGTCATCTTCGGAGGAAGCAAAAGCATTCAGGGAGCTCATTAGGACTTACAACAATCAATATGGAGTCACATCTTTTGGTGTTAAGTGTAATAGGGATCTGTGTAGATGAAACAATGAAGTCTATACATTTAGGATTCAAGGACAGGTGTATCATATTCTAAATAATTTGATACCAAATAATGGTTCAGGCACAAACATGCAGCTTTACTTTCATGATATTGAAAATGAAGTATCTAATCGTCTAGCTGCCTGTCCTAGATTATCTGAGAGTGTGATAAAGAAATTAATCACTGTTTTTCAGCATAATCCATATGCTCGCTTCTTTAGGAATTTATGTCACATTCCTAACTTAGACAGCTACAAAATAGTGTTGCATACTCTTCCTGGTCTAGATCAGAGAGTATATAACAAACCAACAGAGTCACAAGTTGCAGCATTATGGGTAGAAGGAGAAGAAAATGGTGAAAATAGCCGCCGTAATAGACAAGTTTACACTTGTGGTGGTTCTCCACGTAACATTCAGTAATTATGGCTGCTATGATCCATTACAATACCCTTTAATGTTTCCATTTGGAGAGCTGGGTTGGCATCAAGGAATTGCTAAGAAAGGCATAAAAACAAGAAACAGAAAGCAAAAACAAAAAATGCATCAGCTGAAATGATTGCCCCAGCAACTGCTTTAAGTGCTGATCAGCTGCTGTACAATGAAGAAATTGGTCAGTCAAAACTTAAAGTTAGATAGTCCATTATTATGAATAGAGATTTTTTAGTCATACTGAATAGTTATATGGTGTCGTCTTACAGCAATGCATGGACTGGAAGAGGATCCAACTTTTGTTTCACTGAGGGAATATTACGCGTACAAACTTCAGATTAGAGATTCAAATGAATCTCTGCTTCTGCACTTTTGCAGATTGTTTCAACAGTATGTTGTTGATGGATATGTGAAGATTGAGAAACAAAAACTAGACTTTTTCAGGTCACAGCAGGAAGAAATCAGGAGAGAATTTTTGAATGGCATAATGGATGCAGTGGCTGCTAGAGAAACTCATGGGTCAAATATTGGCCAACGAATTATACTGCCACCAGGTTTCATAGGAGGTCCTAAAAATATGCGTCGCAGATACATGGATGCAATGACTTTAGTGCAGAAATTTGAAAAACCTGATCTGTTTTTGACAATGACTTGCAATCCTAATTGGCCAGAAATCAAGGAACATTTGATTGCTGCAGATGAAACACAGAACCGCCCAGATTTGATTTCAAGAGTCTTTCATGCTAAGTTAGAAAAGTTAAAAAGATGAACTTTTTAAGAAGCACATTTTTGGTGAGATAGCTGCTTATACATATGTAATTGAGAATCAAAAACGAGGTATGCGTCACGCACATTTCCTTTTGATTCTCAAATCCAAGTATAAGTTGTATACTGCAGATGAATATGACAAAATAGTTTGTGCTGAGATACCTGACAAAAAGAAATTTCCTCATCTATATAAAATGGTAGTTAAGCATATACATCATGGTCCTTGTGGTTCAGCAAATCCACAGAATGTCTGCATGAAAAAAAATGGATTCTGTAAAAACTCTTATCCAAAAGAATTCTGCAATGCAACTATTCAAGTAGCTGATGCATATCCAAAGTATAGGCGCAGAGATAATGGCATCAAAGTTAAAGTGAGAAATGTATGGCTCAATAATCGCTGGGTTGTCCCTTATAGCGCCTATCTACTTGCAAAAATTGACTGCCACATTAACATTGATATATGTTCGACAGTAAAGGCAATCAAATATATATACAAGTACATTTGTAAGGGACATGACAGAACCAGCTTTCGAGTTGTAGCTGATAGTCCACATTGTGAGATTGATAAAATCAAACAGTATGTGTCAGCAAGATGGATATCCCCTCCAGAGGCTACTTGGAGAATTTACAGGTTTCCAACTAGCGAGATAAAGCCAGCTGTTATTCACTTACAGTTGCATCTGGAAAACCAGCAACCGATGAGCTTCAAGAAGAACACTGATCTGCCTAATGTTGTCAATAATGGTCAACTAAGAAAAACAATGTTAACTGAATTCTTTTACGTGAACAGAATGAACAAGGAAGTTGAGGATCTGAATTACACCTATGTGGAATTTTCAGAACATTTTGTTTGGAGTCCGAGCCAAAGAATGTGGAAAATTTGTGAGCAGAGAGATTCTATAGGTAGAATAGTTGTTGCACATCCTGGTAAAGGTGAAAGATATTATCTAAGATTGTTATTGACAAAAGTCAGATGTCCAACATCATTTGCAGATCTCAGAACTTTTGCTGAAGTTCAGGTGCAGACTTTCCGTGAAGCAGCATTGTTAAGGGGATTACTGGAGGATGATAACAGCCAGGAACTTTGTTTGCAAGAAGCTTCTCACTTTCATATACCATATGAAATGAGAAGATTGTTTGCAACACTCCTGGTTTATTCAAGTCCCAATAATCCGCCATCATTGTGGTCTAAATTTGAAGATGTTATGTCTGAAGACTTTCTTAGATGCAAAACTTTAACAGCAAGTCAAGTTAGAACAAAGGTGCTTGATCAAATAAATGGCTTCTTACAGTCTATGGGGAAAAATATTTCTTCATTCAACTTGTACCCACTTGATTTCTCAATGGATGATATGGAAAGTCAGACAAGGGAGTTAAATGCAGAAAGAAATATAAGTGTTGCAGCAGCTGATTTGGATACTTGTGCTTTGCTGAATCAAAAGCAAAAAGAAGCATTTAATGTCATCTGTGAAAAAGTTTACACCAACAAAAGTGGTGCTTTCTTCGTTGATGGTCCGGGAGGTACCGGAAAAACCTTTTTATATCATGCATTACTCGCTGATATAAGATCAAAAGGTCATGTTGCACTTGCTACCGCAACATCTGGAATAGCTGCTTCAATTCTTCCAGGAGGGAGAACAGCTCACTCGCGATTCAAAATTTCAATAGATATTTCTGATGGAGGAACTTGTCGGATTAGTAAGCAGAGCTCTCTAGTAACTTTGATCAAAGAATCAAAGCTAATCATTTGGGATGAGACTCCAATGTCTAAACGAGCAGCTATTGAAGCATTGGATGATATGCTTAGAGACATCATGAACTCAAACAAAATTTTTGGAGAAAAGGTAGTAGTTTTTGGAGGTGATTTCAGGCAAACATTACTGATTGTTCGTAGTGGAACAAAGGCTGAAACAATTAATGCTTGCTTCATTAATTCGTCTTTGTGGCCTCACTTGCAAAAGTTACAATTAACTGAAAACATGAGAGCAAAATCAAATCCATTGTTTACACAGTTTATATTGGAAGTAGGAAATGGTTTAGAACAGCTGCACAATACTGATTTGGTTGTTATAGTCTTCAATTATGATCAAATACACCAATGAAGTTGATTCACTTGAAAGACTGAAGGATGCTGTCTATCCTGATATTAACACTATATCAGAAAATGCAGCTTTGTCGTTGAACAGAGCAATATTGACAACAAAAAACCACTTTGTTGATGAAATCAATGATTTGATGTTAGAAAAGTTTCCTGGACAAAGAATTGAATACATCAGTTTTGATTGAACAGTTGATCCGAATCATCAGGCTGAGTATGGTGATTTCCTTAACACATTAAGTCCGAGTGGTTTGCCTCCTCACAAGCTTGTGCTTAAGCCACATGCACCAATAATTTTGTTACGAAATCTTGATCCAACTGAAGGGCTATGCAATGGAACAAGACTGATCTGCAAGTCCTTGACTAAAAATGTCATTCATGCAGAAATAGCAGTTGGTCACTTTGCTGGCAAGAAGGTCTTCATACATAGGATTCCTTTGCAACCTACAAATGATGACCAATACCCTGTTCCTTACAAAAGGACTCAATTTCCTGTTCGTTTATGTTTTACTATGACTATTAACAAATCTCAAGAACAGACACTTGATTTTGTTGGTCTCTATCTGAAGGAACATGTCTTTTCACAAGGACAATTATATGTTGCATTGTCCCGTGCCAAAACATCAAATGCTATTCGGGTTTTGATTAAACCAGAGTACTTTAGCTTAGATGATATTGATTGCATAAAAAATATAGCTTATAGAGAAATATTGGATCATTCTTGTTACGTTTCTAAAAGTAAATATTCAATTTTGCTTCCTTCATTTTTTCTGTTATGAAATCTATAAGTGTCAACTCAACATTCACATGTAGCCTGACTCTTTTTCGTTGTTATTATTTTAGGACAGAATGAGCAGGCGTTTATTCGACATACTTGATATCAATAAACAAACTGGACCATGGACCGTCCTTGTTCAGGTTGTTGAAAGAGGAAATGTACATGTAGCACGTACTGCACCATACAAAAAATTCCGTCGATTCTTGTTGACTGATTCTCAGGTATAACATACTAGGGCTACTATCGAGCCAAGTCGAACTCGAGTAACACCATACTCGAGCTCGAACTCGATCTCAAACAATATTACTCGAACTCGAACTCGAGGTCGAACGAGTATATAAATTTGAGCTCGAGCTCGACTCGATAAAATGAAAACTAAACTCGAGTTTGACTCGTTTGGACTCGAGTAAATATCAAGCCTAAGCTACTCGAGATCGAGCTCGAGCTCGAGTTCCTATTTTCTCAAAATTCAAATTCCAGATTCATGTTAACAGGTTTGCCTTTCCAATATAAACCAGATTTCCAGATTTTCAGACTTCGAATATAAACCATGACTAACAAGTGTATATGATGAAACAGGTTTGCCTTTTCAAATTCATCTCAAAGTACAGATAATATCAGTTAACATCCTCACAAATAAAAGTTAACAAGATATCGAAATAGACTTGAACCACCACTGATCATTTAACATCCCAAATTAGTGTCAAAAGTTTCGAGCATTACAAAATACAAAAGTAACAAGTCAGCTTGAACTACCACTGATCAGTCCATTAAGATATTAAAAAATGAACAACACCGCAAGACAAGCACACAAGATTCCAATATGCATCAAGATTCAAAAGGACAAGTGCAACCACAGCTAGTTTAACAAAAGAAAGGTGCTAGTCTGCTTGGCATCCCAGTACGCATCAGAGGCCAACCCAAGATTCAAAAATTGCAGTCCTATCAAGAATGCAGTTGTATCAATTTAAAGAACAAAAGTAAGAAAAAAACAATTAAGAACTACAAGATTCCATAAGGACCATACTACTAAACCTGGCTATTTGAGAGACATCTTCATACTTTCGGCAACTCAACTTCTTTAATTATCTTAACTTACTGCATATTAGAAGAATGAGAAAGAAAACAAAACATTAAAAGTTAGAAAATAATAAATTGAGTAACTTATGCACAAATAGTGGTCTCGAATACTAAAATATTGAATATTACCTTCATTTTCTTTTTGATTCCATGGAGATTTCTACACCAGTCTCCGGCACACAGCAATACTTGAACAGTTCTCGGGTGAAGTGAAGCTCGATAGGAGTCTATTACTCGAGTCCCGGCACTAAACGTTGCCTCAGATGCCACTGTACTTACTGGAATGACCAAGATATCACAAGCCATTTGAGACAACACTGGATAGGAAATTCGGTTTATTTTTCACCATTCCAAGCAATCAAATGCTTTCAGGTCTGCTCCAGTCTTTTGGCGAGGCTTATCTAAATAATCAACCAGTTCCGACTTAAGGGGTTCGTTAGTCTCAACTTCATCACAGTAGACATCGAAATCATCCCAAGAAGAAGAAGCTGGTGCATTTTTTCGCCGCCCTTCTAAAGAACAATCTTCCATTGCTCTTCCTTCTATACTTGCCATTAAAGCAACATATTTCTCATAAAGATCAAATAGGACTTTTCGAACATTTGAAATATGCTCTTGAGTTTGGAAAGGAAGATACATTTGAGGGTATGCGAACTCTACAACTCGCATTTTCTGTCTCGGATCTAAAATGGCAGCAATTGCCATTAGCAAATTACAGTCACCCCAATATTTATCAAACTTGGATTTCATCTTTGTTACCATGGTCCGGATGAAGTCGTCTTCATTGTTGACTTGAGCATCTAAAATTTTCTTAATTTTTGCCACCTCTTGAAGGAACAAGTTGCTTGTAGGATAATCAATCCCAGACATAATATGTGTGGCTGTCCAAAATTTCTCCAAGTTAGAGCAAACCTTTTCTACTTAATCCCAATCATCAGGAGATGGGCAAAAATCATAAAGTGGCTCTCTATCTTGAAAGCGGGGAAAAATATCTCTAAATTTGATGGCACAATTCAGCATCTCGAAAATGGCATTCCATCTAGTCCGACAATCATAAAGCAATTTTTTTCCAGGTATTCGGAGCTGTTGGGCAATTTCAGCAAACAGCAAAGCTCTTCCCTCGGAGCGATTGACAAATTTCACACTTTCCCTAATATTGTTGGTGATGTCCACTATCTTGGAAAGGTCATCTTGAACCACAAGGTTCAAGATGTGTGCACAACATCGAACATGAAAAGGTTTGCCTCCACATAGCAGCTTTTTTGATCTAGAGAAGTCATCCTTCAAAAGTCGGATAGCAACATCGTTATTGGAGGCATTATCGACTGATATAGTATGTATCTTGTGATCAATTTCCTATTCCTTCACGCACTTAAAAATTGCAGCAGTAATCTCCACCCCACGTCGAGGTGGTGGTATGTGAACAAAATTGAGAATTATCTTCTGAAGCTTCCAATTTGAATCAATCCAATGTCCAGTGATGACCATATACTCTATTTTCTGATTTTTAGATTTTCAAAGGTCAGTTGTGATGCTCACTTTTTTGCACATGCTTCAACTTATTTTTAACTTCTTCTTTTCAACTTCATAGACTGTCACGCAATCATTTTTTGCTGTTCCCGGGAGATCTTTTGCCACTCTGGCATACCCCGTCTCATCATGATGTTAAAACTTCTTCCTCCAAGATAGTGAATGGATGCTCATGCATTAACACCCAATGTGCAGCAGCCTCTCTCATTGCCTCCATATCAAACTTACCAGTATGTAATGCCAGCAAAGTCGAAAATATCTCATCAGCTGGCTGGAAATTTAGTTTTGTTTGCTGTGCTACCATTCTAAGATGTACTTTTCTAGCTGAACACGAAATCCTATGCCTTAACATGCTTGAAGTTTGCTTAGATTTGCCCCTTGAAAGTTTTTTCCTACAATGGACGCACGTGGCATAGAAAGTGCCATTTTCTTCAATTTCTTCAAAGTCATCCCAAACTTGTGATGTTTTACTTCTTTTTGGAATATGAAATTCATCATCACCTTTATCTTGCTCTCCTTCTGTTACATTTTTCTCCATAGCATTCACTTGTGTTCCTTCATTCTCAACTGGAGTTTTTTCAGTTCCTTGATCAGTCACATGTATTTTTGGATTTGGAGTTGTGTTGTTGCTAACAAAAACAGGACTATCGAGCAATATTGGAGAGGATGAACCAACATTTGATAGCTGAGGGATAGAAGAAATCTCAGGCGGACTACATCCATCTTCAATATGCCAAAAAAAAAATCATAAACTTGATTAAGTCTTAAACTATTAGTACATTAATCTCACAGGAATCATTAAGTCTTAAACTACAAGGATTACATGTTGGTTTTTCATCAACCAAGAACATGCCAAATTACATTACATGTCGGTTTAGCCAATTGCATAGGGGCAAGGTCCATTCAAAACCAAACAATGAGCCAATATCTAAGCAGTCAACTAGTCTTTTGCACAAATCTTTTGTTGGGGGCCACTAATTCAATGCCAAGAACAGCAAAATGCTTTCAGCAATTCATACGATATATAGCAAAATGCTTTTAGGTGAAGTGTGGTCCCTCTGTTAGTAGTGCACAATCCACTATCACTAGTAAAGTAAAGCAAAATGCCAAGGACAGCAAAATGCTTTCAAGAATTGATACGGGATATAGCAAAATGCTTTTAGGTGAAGTGTGGTCCCTCTGCTAATAGTGCACAATCCACTATCACTAGTAAAGTAAAGCACACTATATAATGCTTGACAATGAAAAACAAAGATTATATCCACGGGGGAAATGAAATCAGTTTCAAGAAAGCTTCTTTCCTATCTCTTCTTTTTACTCTTAGTCCCTGAGACTCGTGGAGAAAGAACAGAGACAAAGTGCAGAATGAATCAGTAGGTTACCTAGTCCCTGAGGTACAACAGCTAATCTTGAACCACCAGTAGAAGGGCCGCAGTGTCACTTTCCATTTTTTCTCCAAAAATTTACTCCAATAGCTTTTACTCCCTTTTGATTCCACCTTAAATTTAAGCCTGCAAATTGCTTATTTAATAGCTTCTATTCACTGTTAACAAAACCCACAATTTTTACCAAAGACCCAAAATTAGGTTTCATATTCTGAAGCAGAATGGGAACTTAGACTCAAAAATTCACACTCAAATACCAAGGTCAGTCGTTTATTACCTCAAATGAGCTGCATTAACTGCGGCTGCAAGGTGCTTTACAATCGAGTGACATTTGCCGCTAGTCATGCTACAAGTGCAGAGGAGAAAATCAGCGGTCAGCGGGACCATGTTGTGATTTGTGAAGTTGAAACCAAAAGGAGAAGCAAAGCACGACGGCGATGTTGGTTTTTGCTCACTGCGAGCTGCGATGAAGTACTAAAGGTTTGAACTTTGAAAGTGAGATTGTGAGAGTGCATTCTTGTTTAGGGTTCAGACAATAAGGTAAACGAGAGTGATTTTTTTTCTTGTTTTTAATTTTTTACATTTTAGATTTATCACATTACCATTTTGCCATCCATCATTTTTTTAACTAAACATTATTTCATGTAAATTTATTAAAACACAACCCATAATAGTCATTCCATACTTAAAATATATATAATATATATATTATACGAAAACTCGATTAGGCTCGTCGAGCACTCGAGTAGTTATTTTAGGAGTTCGAACTCGACTCGTTAAATGTAACGAATAGCTCGAACTCGTATCGAGTTCGAGTCAAGCTTTTTACCAAGCTCGCGAACGACTTGACTTGACAGAACCCCTATAACATACTATATAATATGTACCTGTTTTTTGTCACCGTAATTACTAAATAACAATTTCTCACATATATGAATACATAGGGAACAAGAGTATCTGCTGTGCTTTACGATGCTTCCACCAGGCAGTTTTACTACATGCTTTGGCCATTCAGGAGATATTATATTTCAAATGCTATACTTATGGATACTTCTGTCAACTTCAAACTTGATAATTATCTCTTTTCATGGGCTATTAACAATGACACTTTGATTGAGCCTTATGAAGAACCAGTTGTACCAGCACTGCCATGTCCATTTGAGCTGACTCAGTTTGATGATCTGCATAGATATGCAGACACAGAAAATCTGCAAAGTAAGTTAATAATACAAATACACATTTCATACCTTATCAGTTATAAAAACACAGTTTCTATGTTGAAGAAAATTATTATCAGCTTATTATTTCTCTTTGTTAACACAGATGTGAAGGCAGTTGTTTTGCATGCTTTTCCTCAGAAACAGCAGAGCAACAACACAACAAGAGATTTTGTCATTGTGAATGAACAGTTAACTACTATTATTATGAACTTCAATGTAACTTCAGAGAATTTATATATGATATACTGTAATTTATTTTCCTTTTTTTGAAGAAAAAAGCTGATGCTCCTCACTCTTTGGAATGAATTTGAAAAAGATGATGGAACAAAGATTATGAACAACATTGGTTCAGCACCTTTGATCATAGCAATGAGGGTTAAAGTCACAACCTTTAACTGTAAGCGTATACTTTACATACAGATTGACTGCTTATAAATAATTGTCATATATTTATATATTATCTTTTAACTTCGTTCTTCTTTTTTCAGCTCTTTCCTTGACCTCTCGATTGTCATCTTGTTTCCTTCACAATCCTCCTTTACCTCCACAAATGCAGCTGAATCAATGGTGAACAAATCCATTTATTTGGATCAATGTAACTATTCCTATATAGGTCCCTGTAACTCATTTCTTTTTGTGCAGGTATTTTGATCATAAAGAAGAACTAAAAGAACTACTTGAGGAAAAAACATACAAAGATCCTTCCATCTTACTTCCTCCTCCAAAAGAAGAAGATGTTAAAGAGATACGTGATGTTTTGGCTTCATCTGACACTGTAAGTTCCATTCATACAACTCCAAATACACATTTATCAGTTACAATAATCATTTTACTAACATTTAATAAATTAATACTGATAATTTTGGTAGTATTCTTCACAATTTATAACATCGAATGTTTTGCTATAACAAAAACTGCTTGGATACGAGGTGCTACAAATTACATTCCTGGACAAGGAAAGTGTTGGTTCACTGCTTGCATGAATTGTCACAAGAATGTTAATGCTCAAACAGAATGGATTATAACCTGCCCGTAATGCAATGAATCTACTCATGTTGAACTAAGGTGACATAATATC